CACCAAATCCGCTAAAAACCTGTAGGGGTAGTTTAACATTCTAATTACGAATATGACATTCCTTTTTGCGCTGGCGCTAATGGATGACACTACGATTATGCGCTCTGCTAAGGCTGAGCCCAGGAGGTAATCGTAGTGTCATCTCTTGGCGCCAGCGCCAAGAATGAGTGTCATAATTGTAATCACGATGGTAAATAACCCTTGTGTACATGTTTTCAGCGGGTTTGGTGACTTAGGCAATTTAAAAATGAGCTCGGTGCCGAAATTGCTGGAGTCCAAACGGCATTAGCCCCCCCCCCCCAGCTTCGGTTTGTGGACTGCATAATGTTGCGGCCATAAACGATTTCGAAAGGTTTTTGATAACAAACAAGCCAGCCCCATCCCTTGCTATAGCTCGTGTGGTTGGGTTATTGTTAGAACTCCGCAAACGTAAAAACCGCTTTCGCATTCACTTTTCTTTTCTATAGGGACGATCACAGCTTTCTATCAAACAAGGTTTCCCACGGATGCATTCCTCATTGAAGAACTGCCTGTGTTCATGCTTCTGGGGTGAGCTGACTTTCATGAGAGTCTTCGGCTGAATTACCCTGACCTCAACAACGATGCATATTTTCAGGTTTCTCAGTGGGATGATGGGTGCGATCTTCATTTTTGCTCATCGACACATATCCATATTTCGACAAAGGAATCGTGTATTCAAGATGATCTTCAGAAACAAGTGAGAATCTTGTTCACAAAGCGCATGTTTTTCTTCGATAATCCACTTTTGCTTACTTATTTGCTTGTTTATCTATTTATTGACTTATTTGCTTTGGATGAGCATGTCAAGCAATCAATGACTACAATCCACTTCAAATAAAGGAATCCAAACCAGCTGGACTCAGTTCGGCTTCGTGGGGTACCAAGTGATATTAGGTTGTCCGGAAAGTTCTCAGCGTTTTGGGTGTTTCACTTTAAACGATCGTAACTTTTTTAATACTCATCGGATTTAATCGAAATAGGCACCATTCGAATCAGCACACTTTTGCCAATGTGACAGCAGTCGAGAAATCCCATCAAAGTAAAAAACTGGGTGGTCGAAAATTCACGAAATCCACTAAGGCTTTTTTGCCTGGTCCTGATTGATGAAGTATTTTCCAGCAAGGGAGTTCTGAAAATGTTAGAAAAGGTGATAGTCGGTTGGCGAAAGGTCTGAAGAATATAGGCGGTTAGAGG